GCTTTGCAGCCAGAGTGTCTGTGACAACTATGCAACTCCACCATTATAGCATGAAAGCAGCCATAGACAATACATAAAAGAATGATTGTAGCTGTGTTCCAATAAAACTTTATTTAAACATACAGATGAAGGGCCACATTTGGCCCAAGGGCCATAGTTTCCTAACCTTTGATCTAGGACAGCGCTGTCCAGTAGAAATAGAATGCAAACGACATAAGTAATTTAAATTTTTCTAGTAGCTGCGTTATAAAAAGTAAAATGAGGGGCTTCCCTGGTGGCGCAGTGGTTGAGAGTCCGCCTGCCGATGCAGGGGACACGGGTTCGTGCCCCGGTCCGGGAAGATCCCACATGCCACGGAGCGGCTGGGCCCGTGAGCCATGGCCGCTGAGCCTGCGCGTCCGGAGCCTGTGCTCCGCAACGGGAGAGGCCACAACAGTGAGAGGCCCGCGTATCGCAAAAAAAAAAAAAAAAAAGTAAAATGAAATAGGTTAGTTTAATTTTAATAATATATTTTATTGAACCCAATATGTCCACAATATTATCATTTCAACATGAAATCAATATAAAAATTATTGAGATATTTTACATTCCTTTTTGCTTCCTAAGACTTAGAAATCCCATATTTTACACGTACAGCCTATCTGAATTTGAATAGTCACGTTTCAAGTGCTCACTGGCCACATGGGCTAGTGCTTACTGTTTTGGACAGCACAGCTTTAATGGGGCGGGCTGACATTATAAGGAGACAGTCGTACACATAATCAATACACAACTGATAAGCACCATGAATGGATAGTAGAGGGTGCTATGCATAGGGACCGGGAAACAATAAAGGGATCTTCTGTGACTTGCCCTCACCTCTGCCCTGATTTCCTTTTTGGGAGTCAATAGCAGGGCTTCCCTGGTGGTCCAGTGGTAAGGAATCCACCTTCCAATGCAGGGGATGTGGGTTCGATCCCTGGTCGGGAGCTAAGATCCCACATACCACGGGGCAACTAAACCAGCGCACCACAACTACTGAGCTCGAGCGCCTCAACAAGAGAGCCCGCATGCTGCAAACTACAGAGAGAAAACCCACATGCCACAACTAGAGACAAACCTGAGTACCGCAACAAAGAACCCGTGCCTCAACAAAAGATCCCACATGCCTCAACGAAGACCCCACGTTCTGCAACTAAGACGCAACACAGCAAAAAAAAGAAAGAAAGAAAAGAAATAAATCAGAAGTCAATAGAACATTCTTACGCCTATCGTAAACTCCAGCTACCACACATGCTTAGCATGGACGACTATAAAATGAAGCATTCAGACTTTGTGCTGGCTCATCTTTGATAATTCTGCATCTAGGGATCGGGAGATGAATTGCTTTTGTTTCTCATGGCTTTTCTTGGACCTCAGGTCAGCAGCATAGCAGCCCCTGACCTGGTACAGCCATAGATAGCAAATCAAGGCATCAGCATCCAGATGGGGTCCGAGTGATTGTTCCCACTGGCTGGGATGGTTTTTCTATCCAGGAGAGAGGCGCCCCCATCTGGATTCAGAACAGTAATTTCAACTCCCAGACCTGGTGTGAATCTCACTCTGCCATTTACTTACTGAGTGACCTTGGGCAAGTTTCTTAACCTCGCTGAGTCTTAGTTTCCTCATCTGTACAATGGGGATAATGACAGCAGCTACCTTAAGTGATTGGTGTATGGAGAGGGATGATTATGAATAGAAAGTATCTGGTACATGGTAAACTCTGAATATTACATTATTATTATTATTAGTGCATCAAGGATGTCCCCCCCAAACTCTGAATTAATTGCCCCCTCCTCACGTTAATCTGGAGACTCCAGTGTTTGCATCACCTCCTCCTGTGCTACGGTTCCTCTTTGGCATTGCTGTGTCTCCCACTCAGCTGTGAGTCCCCAGAACAGGAACTGTGTTTTGTACATCTTAGCAAGAATAAAAATCTTCCCTTTGCCTAGATTCTAGAACATTATTTCTGTCCATCACCATCTTCCCCTTCTGGGAGATAATTCCTGATGTTCCTTCCACCCATCAAACTGGGTCAGTCTCCCCCCACTTACACACTCTTAAGCCCCCCTGTGCTTTTCCTTTGAAGCGTTTAGCACATGTAATTAATGAATTATCTGGGGAATCTGCCTTTTTTTTTTTTTTTTTTTTTTTTGGTGGTACGCGGGCCTCTTACTGTTGTGGCCTCTCCCGTTGCGGAGCACAGGCTCGGGACACACAGGCTCAGCGGCCATGGCTCACAGGCCCAGCCGCTCAGCGGTATGTGGGATCTTCGCAGACCGGGGCACGAACCCGTGTCCCCTGCATCGGCAGGCGGACTCTCAACCACTGCGCCATCAGGGAAGCCCTGGGGAATCTGCTTTAATGTCCGTCTCCCCACTGGACTGCGAGTCTTCTAAGGGTGGGGCTTGAGGCTGCATTATTCATCGCTGAGTTCTCAGCTTACAGGTCATGGCACATAGCAGGTGCTCAGGAAATGTTTGTTGAATGTATTAGAGACTGTCATTCACTCTGGAAGGTAAGCGACCAGAGATTGCTCTCAGAATAACAACGAGAGAGCTTAAAGAGCTTTTGTAACTGACCTTTTTAAAATCACTTGCTCAACATCCACCATATATTTCTCTCCACCTCTCTTAAATAAAAATTCTCTGTGGACCTTGTAAAACCTTCAAGCCATGCTGTCCAGTAGAAATATAATGTGATCCACACATGCACTTTTACATTTTGTAGTACCTACATTTTAAAAAGTAAAAGAAAACAGGTGAAATGAATTTTAATAATATATTTTATTTAACCCAGAATACCCAAAATTTTATCACTTCAACATGTAATCAACATAAGAAGAGCTGATGAGCTATTGTACATTCTCTTTTTTTGAACTAAGTCTTTGAAATCCGGTGCATATTTGCACTCACAGCACATCTGGATTTGGACTTGCCACGTTTCAAGTGCTTAGTACCCACATGAGGCTCATGGCTGCCATACTGGAGCTGCAGAGAAACAGCTATGGTTTTCAAATTCTTCTTCCCAGAGTGCCCTGCTGTGTGTGGAGGTGAGGCTTTTCTCAGGTGGTCTTCATAGGACACCAGAGATGAGCACAGCTGAAGTTTATCATCCAGCACTGGGCAGAACCTGTCCCCATAACAGGCAAGAAGGAAGGAAGGGGTTGATCATACCAAGAGGTGACATGTCTATGGGGCTTAATGCATGCTAGGAGTTTTGCAAAGGGCGTTACATTGTGTTAAGTCATTTGATCCTCTAGCGACGCTTTGAGGGAGGCTATCATATTATTATCCCCGTTTTACAGGTGGGGAAGTAGAGGCACAGGGATTGAAGTGACCCACCTGTTCAAGGACACACAGATAATAAGTGGTGGAGCTGGGATTTGAACCCAGGCAGCCTGGCTCCAGGACCTATACCTCGGCTGATCACCTCTGTGAGCAGACTGTCTCAGAATTGGGCCCTGCCATTTCTCTACAATGGTGTCACAGACAGGATCTAGAGTCAGTGCTACCCACTTGGATTTGTTCATTCAACAAATTATGTTGAGCCCCTTCTGTGCACCAGACCACACGCTCACAGAGCTTACTTTGAGGGGAGGAATTCAATAACAGACACTTCCCCAAATGGCGTTACTGGGATTCATAGGAAAAGCCCAGCTCTGAAAGAGGGTGTTGACAAGTAGATACTCTGATAGAGTCATCATTTAGCAAGTTGGCGCCAGAGGGAGAGGTATTTCAGTGCCAAGGGGAATAAAGCTCTGTTCCAGTCCAAAGGGGGACGCCAGCCCAGTGTGTCCTCGAGGAGGTAGGGATGGTGACCTGTGGGTGCCAGGAGCTTGGTCCAGCAGTATGCCAGGAAGGCCCAGGACTAATGCCAAGGGGAGTGGTCAAGAAGAGCCAGCATCAAGGTAGTTGTGAGGCCGGAGCTCAGAATTCACAGCCAGGAGTGGAGGGATGAGATGGTGCTGAGCCCCAGAGACACATCTTACGGAGTCTCACTGGCAGAACAATAAAAGTCTGTGAGCAAGAGAACGAATGCACGAAAGTAGCTCCTCACTACTGGTCATACAGTCATTTGGTGTATTCATCAATCAAGAGCACCTTTGGTATGCCAGGAACTGTTTCACAAGTTGTCACTCTTGACATTTGTTGAAACTGGTATCTTACTAGAGATTCAACAATTTCTCTTTAATTTTCAGTGGCAAGACATATTCCCCAGATGTGTCCCACTTTCCTACAAAACGTGTCATATTTGAACCTCTGACATTAATAACAGGAATAATAGTAACAGCTGTTAATAACCTACTGTTGTGCCAGGCCCTGTACTAAGCACAGCTTCTTTTAATCCTCACAACAGGCCTAAGAGGTAGTTTCTATTATTTACCCCCCCCCTTTTTTTCTTTTT